GCGCGGGAGGTAGAGGGGAGCTCTTCGATCATCGGCATTACTGGCCTCCCTCGTGCGTCCTCGTGCCTCATCGGAACGGCGCGGCGGCGATCGGCTAGTTCCGTGCGTGGTCGCCACTCTCGTACAGTCTCGCACCAGCTCGCGCGCGTTACGGATCTGTGTTGCGCTCCGATTGCTTCGGCCTCCTCTCCGCGATTCGATCATTTGACGGAATTCGGCAGTGGTAGTGCGGAACAGACGGTAGACTACCTGTGTCTACCTGTTCGATCTGACCATCTATCTAAGCACTTGTACGACGTGTCACTCTTTGTGTCTTTCCAGCAGCGCGTGAGGAGTTTAAACGTCGCATCGTCGTTGAACGGCCGTCTGTTGTTATTCTCGTTCCCTGGTCGCATTATCTATCGAGTTGTCGAGGTATCTCTCTCGTCAGTCTCGTCGAGGTAGTGCGCGGCGCTTCTTGGATACGCGGTCACGTATGCACGCATGGACAAGCAACGGCGACGCGGCACTGCCCAATGATGGCCGTGCCGGGCATTACCGTTGACGTAGTGATGTATTATTAGTGGTGCGCGTCGCGGGAAAGTGCTGTGTGTCGCTCGCGCTCTCTCTCTGTCTCTCTCTCTCTCTCTCTCTCTCTCTCTCTCTCTCTCGCTCTCTGTTTCGCCGCTCACTTCAGTCCGTATCTCGGTGTGGCGTTACTCGATAATAACGCGGAGTGTGCTCCTCGTCGACGCGGAAATCAGTGATCGCGGCAAAGGGAAGGCAGGCAAACGCGGTTTACAAAATACGCGTATTTTCGCCCCTCCTGCTCGCCCGCCCACGAGTTTCACGCAGTGAGAGTTTCATATCAGTGCACGACGACGACGACGACGACAACGACGACAGTTTCGTTCGCTCTCTGTGTCTCTGTGTGGATTATCATATTTGGATATACTCGTATTATCGTATTTGGATACTGCGATCAGCGATCCTCGCCGCGGCCCACGTCCAGCCAGCCCATCGCCAGATTACAGCCCGAGATCGTGATTCCGGTGAGTGTGCTTGACTTATCCATCATATTGCATTATCGTTCGCTCCGTTCGTATCGGCGTTCACCCGCGGCGATCGATGCGCGATCCCGAAACGCGTGACGGGCAAGTCGCGCGCCGTTGCGCTTATCGCTCTCGATCGGCTGCCATCTTGTTATTTGTATCCGTCGCGTCGCGTACGCGAGCGTGTCCGCGCCGCGGAATCGGCGGAATCGCGCAGTCAGAATCGGTTATTAACAGTTTATCGGAGATCGCGTGGACAAGGCGCGGAAACTCCGGGCGGAGGCGTCCGCTTCGAAAATCACTATCACCGCAATCGTGTCTACTCCGAGCGGCGTTATCTTTCCTTGTTTTCCTCGATTGTTTCCGCGACTCGATCATCACGCATAGAGCTCCTATAAATCCTTATGTCCACCATGTTAGAAATCGGCTTGAGATCGATTAGAAAAAAAATTAACAAATTGCACTTGAATGATCAAAATGTGATCGGTTAATACTTTTTTCGTCGAAGATCTAGTATCTGATTTCTAATATCGTGGATGTAAGGCTTAACCGAATTTGGCCACAAATTTTGTCAAAATCTTACACTATTAAATTTATAATGTGAAATTATACTCAATTTGAATTGTTTTTAATCATTTCTGTAGATTATCATTGTTTCTAATCAATGTGTCATTAATTTAATTGAAATAATGGAATTAAACAATTTAATTCAAGAAAATGTAATCAAATTTGATTCAAACGAAGTTTATTAACGTATACTAAGTATACGTTAATATGAATGTTGTTTACTTTAGAACTAACCACAGAAATTGATCGGTTACATTTTGACATATATGGAAGTTAAAAATAATAAAATGTTTTTTAATTTAAAAGATTGGGTTTTCATTGCTCCTTTGATATTTTATATATTATAATATAATAGTACGCAGGAAAAATGTATACGTATCTTTCTCTCTCGGGGAGGATTTTGACAAAATCATTCGTAGCCAGATTCTGACATAAAATACATTCCACTTGTTTGCTAACAACGCTTATGAATATTATTTGTCCTTGTTTAACTTTTTCCACTTAATAAATAACAAGGATAAATTATTCCAATGCATTCGAAGGTCAAGTGAAATGCAGCTGTAGGTTCAGTTTTTTATTTTCTGATTAATTTGTGATAATTAGATTTAAGTTAACTTACATAAAAAGTTCAATAACAATAAAAACTGTATTTTTCTAGTTGTGGATTAATTACTAAACTGATAAGACACTTTATAGTGAGCGCGACTTTTAAAGTTCCGGTCACAAAACCATCAGTTTAATCATAGCTAGAAAAACAATTCCTACATTATCATCGGGTTAAGTGAAGTTAAACCTAAACCGCAGGTTTAACCAGAAAATAAAAAGAATGAAAAATCAGGCCACAAGATTTCTAGTCACGTAGGGGAAATGGCAGATCGATTAGAAATCAAGCTGATAAAACGTCTTGGAGTCGGACACGACAGGATTGACCGTTTTCTATCGATTCGACGGAGTGGATGTGACGTCTCGTTTGCTTACAGCAATTCCAGATTCCAGAACGGGCCGAGGCGCTTTTTTAATTTTCGCGAACGAGATGGAAAACTTGGCGACGCGACGCGGCCGGGTAAATACTTAGGTACTTGGTACTCGCGAAAGTGCCCTGCGCTGGAAGTGGAGCATCGCGCCGTTCTTTTAGCGGAATTACATCTCGTTAACGGTATCACGATAAAGTTGCGCACGACGATTCCGCTATTTCGTCATCGTTCCGCTGGTAATTTTACCTGAAGAACGTCGACATTCAATGTAAATACTGCCGTTTAATAACGAGACTGGGAACTCGCGATGCAACGAATTCGAACGTTGTAATCGTGATTTCCGTCTTATCTGTGCGCGGTGAGTTGTTTGACGATGAAACTCGAGATACTCGCGTCGAATCTCACTCTCGATCGTAGCAACTTTCATCGCACGACGACGACGACGACGACGACGACGACGATGCCGCCGTTTCAAGATCGCGTGAGTGAATTATTTTTTAAAGAAAAATTCATTGAATTCTCTCTCGGAGTAGAGATTCGTAAGCAATAAAACTGTCGGCAGCCGCGCGATAAGCGAGATTGTGAAAACAGTTGGCGGTGATCACGGTCACGAAAAATATTTGCACTTGTCGAATTAAGTTTTATTTGAAAGCGGCTGATAGTGAAAAGTTAACGACGATACACGAAATTTATTTCTATACTTTGATTTCGGCGAACTTATGTAGTTCTGCGTAGGAGTTTGGCTAACGCGCAGCTGCTGATCAAAGAGTGACGTCACAAAACGATTCCCTTAACCATTTGAAGCTGACATCAGAATCTGTCACACGTTTATTGACTAATGAATATGTGAGATCCATTTAATTTACGTTTAAAAGGCACTAATTATTTTTAATCATTCAAAATATCATAGGTACATAATTTGTTGTATATTAAGTAAAAAAGAGCGAATATTGATAATAATTGTGATAATATTTGTATTGACTAAAAGGCACTAATTAATTTCAATCATTCAAAATAACATACATAACTGTTATGTATATTAAATAAAAGAGAATGAATATTGATAATAATAGTAAATTTGATCACTCACGTTACACTGGATTAATGCTCATTAAGGACTATATAAAGTATCTAACTGCAGTGGCATAATCAACTTTGACAATGAAATAATGTAATATTCTGTTACATAATGTGACAATATCATTATTCAGTATTTAGTTGTTTAAAATATTTATATACTTTTACATTTAACCTTGTTAATATATATTAGCTTTTAGTATGCACTAATTTAATGTAGTGCAAGTAATAGAATTCGCTACAAGTTTCTTCAAATAAGCAAGGAAAGTCATATTCGAGCAAAGTGAATTTTAATGCCTTTTAATAACAATAATTTAAAGGAGATTACAATTTTTTTCAGGACTATTCGAGGACTATTCGTTTTATTTTTCCATTTTTTAAAATGTATTTTTCTTTGTGGAAACTGAAAATTATGATGCTGCATTCAAAGAGAAATTAGTACATTGTGAAATAAAGTTAATAAAATCCTTATTTGTGTTTATATTTTTATTAAATCGAAGTCAGTTCCAGGATCTAACTCTGTTGATCCAACTCTGAATTAGTTTTTAAATGATCAAAGAATAATACACTGATTTCACAATGATATAAATAAGGATTTTAACTTGATTTTCGTTCAGTGTATCAATTTTTTCTTAATAACGTTAATCATTATGACAGTTTTCGATTTACGTGAAGAAAAATACATTAAAATAAAACGATCTTCAAACGGTCCCTTGCAAAAAAGTGAAAGTTGTATTCCACTGTTTTCCTTTGCAGATATGATGTAAAGAATATATAATTGAGTCCTTTAAACCTACCGTCAGCTCCGGAAGGTTAACCATTCGTAATTCCAGCTGAATGCGACATACCTAAAGCTTTGTGCTAATCCTTTACAGTTTCTTTTTTAATTCTTCAAGTATTCGAATTGATATATGTTTATAATCAGCAAACTATATTTTTGCGAACTTCACGAATTCCTTCAAATAAACTTTTTTATTTATTTATTTATTTAGATCCTCTAATCGTATTAAATTAAAAACAAAGACTTTTCGCTCATTTGCGCGACAAATTATATTTATATTGTAAAAGGATAATACACCTGTGTGTTTTTAATGCGTGAAATGAGGAAATGCCGGTGATCCGTTTTATATGCGATCATAGTTTCCGAATTATTATCTTATTATCGTGTAAATCAACTCAACTTTTAGACAACTATCATGAGAGTGAATACAAATTACAGAAAATGTGATAGCTTTTTAACTTTCAGATATATAATTAAAATATAAGTGCATATCGTTTTTTCAGTTCATAGAAAAAACATTATAAATATGTCTTCTATTATGCGAGAATTCGTAAACATATTTGTATGCGGTACCTAAAATTGAAAAAGTTTATCGAATACAGCTTTATATACTCTCTTATAAAATTGAATTAAACAATAAATGCAATAAATGAAACTTTTTATTCTTTCTGAGAATTGAGGAAGAAATTGATAGAAACATAAATATATGATATTGCTCGGAATGAAGATATTTTATAATCGTACGTTTCGAATGTGATTCGTGACTCTGATTTTGATCCCCTGAATTATTCAAGAATTCATTGTAAAAACCAGCAAATTGGCGACGGACACAATCTTGGCGAAGTCGAGAGCGGCGTATTTCACCGCGCGGGAAAAACGGAGTAATCCGTGGAATCATATTCTACAAAAGCGCGCGTGTGTGTTCGGGGAAATGGAAATATTTCAGACGCGTCCGAGGAGAAAGCGATTCGAAGCCGAGACTTGGATGTCGTTCAGTCACGGTATAGTTCGCGTTCTCTTCGTCGCGAACGATATTATTTCTGGCACGACATACCAGCCGGCGGCGTCGATCGATCTCGTCCTCGAACGGGCGATCGCGAACGTCCATGTATACACACACACACACACACACACACACACACACACGCGCGCGCGCGCGCGCGCGCGCATATAAACGTATGTATATGCAACCCCCCCCCCCTCCTGTGCACGTGTCTGTGCGTGTGTACGCGTCGCGATCGATCGCGAGCGGGTCCTTTCGGCGAGGAGGGAGGTAAGCGCGAAACACGTTTACCGAGACCCCGGAAATAATTACCGTTAAGCAGACCCGAGTTGTCGGCAAATTGAATTGGCTTCGAGTGCCGGCACACACAGCTCTCTCTCTCTCTCTCTCTCTCTCCCTCCCCTCTTCCTTCCTCTCTTCCTCTCTTCTCTCTCTTGGCAACCATCGTCGTCGGCTGGTCTCAAATACATCCGAGAGACGATCTCTCTGTAAATTCTCTGTCCGCGGCTCGCCAATGTTTGCAAACAAACTCGCGTGTCAGCGTCACATTGCTCTCCGCGATTTTATATTCCGACCCGCTTTCTCGGCATCGTCGGCT